GCAAAACTGCAAGAGTGGTTATCTGTCCAGAGTGAAAAATTGATACTTGGCACTACTTTTAAAAAGAAATTTTTAGAATTGAATTAGAAAAAGGAAAAGTTGTGAATAATAAAACTGAAAGAGAAATATAAATTGGCCAATGTTAGTATAATTCAGAGTGGATGCATTTTAATTAATAATATTTTGAATAAGTAATATATACAAAATAAGTAAAATACAAAAATTTAAAAACTACCAACAAATATACCATTCTCCCTCTACTCCTGTTTTCTGGTTCTCTAGTTTTTCCCACTAAGGAGGAAACCAAATATATACTGTTAAATTTGGTTAAAAGATTTTTTAAATGCTTGAAGTTATCAGTTATTTTATATTTTATCTCATTTTCGTATAGGGGGCACACTGTGGGCTACCTCGTGGCAATTTGCTGTACTTTCAGCCTATGCTTTATTTGGTAGATGCCAACAAAAAAGCAAACCAAATCTTTCTTCTGCATTCAATAAGGACTGAAGCACTGATATTTTATGTTGCAGATGTATACTTTTTACTGATGTGTACCTTTACACTAAAATAGGATTTTCTAGATCCTGGAATAGGCAGGTGGGTAAAATCTGGAATATCTGCTGCTATAAAATACAGCTGGACAAAGAGATTTTTTAATAAAACATGCTGGAGGATACCATAAGACCAGCCTTAAGAAAATGAAAATAAGAGCAGAAATAATAATAATAATTACTATTATTTACTTAACACCTACTGTGTGCTGAAATGTAAGCCTTAGCACTCCTATTTAGATTCATACTTACCTAAAACCTTACAGTTAGTGACAACCAGAATTTAAACCTGGACATTTCCAGTACCAAAAATCTATGGGCTTTCTCTTATACTATATTGCTTCTCATAATGGTTCATGCTACTTCTTTCTTTCCTTGTTTTTTATTGACAAATAAAAATTATATATATAATAGTTTATTGTTTTGAAATATGTATACATTATGAAATGTCTAAATAGAGCTAATTAATATATGCATTACCCACATATTTTGTGTGCGTGTAAAGAGGGGTAAGAACACTTAAAATCTACTCTCAGCAAATTTCAATAACACAATATTTTGTTATTAACTATAGTCGCCATGTTGTAAAATAGATCTCTTGAAATTATTTCTGCTATCTAACTGAAATTTTATATTCTTTGACCAATATCTTCCCAACCACTTCTTATCTCCCATCATTGGCCCCTGGTAACCACCATTTTACTCTCTATTTCTATGAGGTCATCTTAGGTTCCACATATGAATGAGATCACATGGTATTCATCTTTCTGTGCCTGGCTTATTTCACTTAACATAATGTCCCCCAGGTGCATCCATGTTGTTGCAAATGACAGGACTTCCCCCCCATTTTAAGGTTGACTAGTATTCTATTAATATTTTGTATACATACCAGATTTCCTTTATCCATTTATCTGTTGATGGACATTTAGGTTGATACCATATCTCAGCTATCATGAATAATGCTGCAATGAACATCAGAGTGTACATATCTCTTTGACATACTGATTTCATTTCCTTTGGATATAGCCAGTAGCGTGATTACTAGGTCATATGGTTGCTGGCTGATATGGCAGTTCTGTTTTTAATTTTTTGAGGAACCTCCATACTCTTTTCCATAATGTCTATAATAATTTGCTTTACCACCAACAGTGTGCAAGAGTCCCCTTTTTCTCCACATCCTTCCCCAAACTTATCTTTAGTCTTTAATAATAGCCATCCTAATAGATATGAGGTGATATCTCATTATGGTTTTAATTTGTATTTCTCTGATGACTAGTGATTTTGAGCAATTTTTCATATACCTGTTGGCCATTTGTATGTCTTCTTTTGATAAATATCGATTCAGATCTTTTATCTATTTTTAATCAGTTTTTTTTTACTATTCTTTGAATCCCTTATGTATTTTAGATATTAACCACTTATTAGATATAAGGTTTGCAAATATTTTCCTCCATTATGTAGGTTGTTTCTTCACTCTGTTTGTTGTTTCCTTGGCTATGCAGAAGCTTTTTAGTTTGGTGTAATCCCATTTGTCTATTTTTGTTTTTTTTACCTGGGCTTTTGGGTTAATCAAAAAAAATCAGCGCCCAGACCAATGTCATGGAGCTGTTTTTCATGCTACCTCTTAAAAGGGGATGGATATGGAATTCCTGAGTTTAAAGAAAAATAAAACACACAAAAAAATGGGACCAATGTAGGAAGACATATGAGAGGAAACCGTGGGATTCAAACAGGAGCTGGGTTATATTCAACAAATCTTGGGTCATGTTAAAAAGACCCATTCCATGATTTGTATAACATCACAAACTAATGTTTTCCCTTTGCTGATGTCATTTTCTGTAATACTTATAAGAGTTTGTTGTCCCACTAGGCCCTTTGGAACCTCTCTGGGGGAAGGATGCTTTTTCATTCTGGATATTTGTGCTGTTTTGCCTACCCTTTTTTCAGTGTCATTCACCTAGACCTGGATACTCTGAAATCAATTCCTAGACAGTTAGGTTAATGATATTGGATGCAAGATCCCACACTGACCCTGAGCTTTGTGATTACTGGTGGGACACCTGTGACAGAATATTTTAATGATTTAAAAATTTTAATAATTATTGATTGTTCCATACCTAGTTACCTTAAAATTTAATGGCTTTAAAAAAAACATGTATTATCTCACAGTTAGTATAGGTAAGAAATCCAGGTGTCTCTGGCTGAGGCTTTTTCATAAGTTTGAAGGTATGGTCTGAAGCTGATGTCATATTGAGGCTTAACTGAGGGCGGATCCACTTCCAAACTCATTTATGTGGCTGTTAGTTGAAGTTCCTTGCCATATGGGCTCTCTACAGGGCAGCTCACATGGCAGCTGGCTTCCTTCAAAGCAAGCAAGCAAAAGAACAAGAAAGGTTACCCAAGATAGAACTTATAATTTTTTATAATCTAATATTGAAAATGACATCCCATCACTTCTATGCTGTTTTGTTCTATTCTAATTTCTTACAGACAAGTCAATAAATCCAGCCCATACTTAAGGAGAATGAATGATATAAGAGCATGAATACCAGTACACTGGGATCCTTGGGTACCTAATGTGGTACCTAACATGTACCACATGTACCAAATAAATGCTTATTTAATAAACAAGGAAAAGGATAAATTATAAAATTTATCATATAAGTGAACATATATCAAATCTTTTATTTAGCTTATTAATTAATGAGAATATATAAGATATTACAAGCCCCTCAAATGAAAACTAAAAGTACCAAACATTTATTGTCAGATAAGAAATGATGAAATGATTTTTACAAATGGGTATAAAACTGGTAAAACTTGTCAATATATACAAGGCAATAATCAATGGCATTCTAGTGTATACAATTTGCATTTCCATGGACAGAAATTATTCTCATATATCATTTTCTACAGTTAACTTCTATCTGTAGGTCAAAGGCAAAGGCAGAGATAACCTGGATTGCTGAAATAGTATGTTCACTAAATTTCAAACTCTTCCACAATTTTTTCTTACAAATGAATGGTATAGACTAGGAGAAAGTGCACCCCAGGAAAAGACCACACAAGCTATTTTTAAATTTATACAAACATTTAGGACACTTCATTGGAGACTTATGGCCTTTGGTTATAGGGTAGAAGATTTCCTAAATATGTTAGAGTATCTCAGATATAGCTCAATACCTTCACAATATGTTATTTTTTCCTTACATATCCCCCTTAATCTTGAGGAATAGAGTATCTCTGGCAATGGAGAGAATAAAACTAAACCATCCCAATGCTCCAGGGAGTGATGGGCTCTTGTAGGTAGATGCATGGTCCCAAGGCTTATGAGATCAGGATTCTGTCAGCAATTGCCAAACCTAGGTGGACCAGCTACACCAAAATCTTCTCTGGCGGAAGTCAGGGGATGTTGTTCTTTCAAAAATTTTGACTCTTGGGCTCTATCCTAGACATACTGAATCAATGTGCTAGGATGAGGTCTGGGTAAGTTTATTTTTAATGTAATCCTCAGATAATTCTATGTGGCCAATTTAATTATTCACTGGTCTAGATCACTTCTCATTGAAGTCATTCATGGTGCTGTGGCTTTGACCACAATGTATAGGAAGAGTTTATGGAGGCCTCTTCTCTACCTGGAGAGGTTATAAATGGCTTTTCACCCGAGTTTCTCCAGGTGAATATGGAGACAAAGGTTTCTCTCCTGCCAGGCCATTTAAAGCTAAACTTTGAGAAAACATATACCATACTATACACTTACCTATAAAATCATTACAAAAAAAGCAACTAGAAGTACAAATATACAGATCTTTTCCTATACCCTCAAACAGTAGACTATGTGATATTATAGAATTTCCTGATGTTTGCAACCTCAATAAAAATGCTTTTAGTTTTAGCATCTATCAGTGGACATTTCAATAGATATTTGCAGTGTCCTGATGGGTACTATTGGAATAAAGGAAAAACAATTATGTACATTTTCCCTACTATGCAAAGTTTGCTCAATCAGTTCACTACATTTGAAAAGCTGCAACTGTTTGAAATTCAAATGAACATTTACCATCTGTGTGGTCTTCATTAACATTATAATGGCATCATGATTTCAGACATTTCTGTTGATGAATATTATTATTCTTGAGCCTTTATACTGTCATTTTTAATTTTGTAGTCCATAAAGTATAAAGTAATTTGTGATTTATTATATAAAAATCATTGAATAAGAACAGACTTTGGAAACGATCAATTCTAATATTTCTATTTTATTAGAGAGGAAACCAAGATTCAAAAAGGAAAACTCTTATAGGCTGACAAGTTTGTATGCTGAAGTCCTAATCTGCAGTATCTCAAAATGTGACTGTATTTGGAGATAAGGTCTTTAAAGGGGTAATTAAATTAAAATGAAGTCATTCAGGTGGGCCCTAATCCCATATGATTGGTGTCTTTATATAGAAGAGGAAATGTTGACTTAGACATCCAGGGAAGATGATGTGAAGACAGAGAAGTCAGTCATCTATAAGCCAAGAGATCATCCTCAGAAGAAACCAAACCTGCTGATATCTTGATCTCAGACTTCTAGCCTTCAGAACTGTGAGAAAAAATTTCTGTTGTTTAAGCCTGTATCCCCAACTCCCAGGCTGTAGCCTGCTAGGGATCTGTAGCCTGTTAGGAACTGAGCTGCCCGTCACCCCCTGAGTTCTGCCTCCCGTCCTGCCCCACCATCTCTGGAAAAATTATCTTCCATACAACTGGTCTCTGGTGCCAAAAATGTTGGAGACCACTGGTTTAAGCTACCTAGCCTGGGTACTTTATTATGGCATCCCTAGCAAACTAATACAGGAACCAAATTGCCCAAGTTTAAATAGCTAATTGGTTGTAGAACTGGGACTAGAATCCAGGTCTTCTGCTTTTCAGTTTGGTACACAGTCATGCACTGCATAATGATGTTTTGGTCAATGACAGACTGCAAATATGATGATGGTCCCATAAGATTATCATGGAGCTGAAACATTCCTATCACCTAGTGACATCATAGCATTGTAGAACACATGTTACTCGCTTGTTTGTGGTGATGCTGATATAAACAAACCTACTGCACTGCCAGTCATATAAAAATTTAGCACATAAAATTATGTACAGTACATAATGACAATAAACGACTATGTTACTGGTTTATGTATCTACTATGCTATATTTTTATTGTTATTTTAGAGCGTACTCCTTCTACTTATTAAAAAAATGTTAACTGTAAAACAGCCTCAGGCAGGTTCTTCAGAAGATGTTTCAGAAGAAGCCACTATTATCATAGAAGGTAACAGTTCCAGCTTATTGCCCCTGAAGATCTTCCAGTGAGATAAGATGTGGAGGTGAAAGACAGTGGTATTGATCATCCTGACCCTATGTAGGCCTAGGCTAGGGTATGTGTATGTCTTGGTTTTTAACAAAAAAGGTTAAAAAGGAAAAAAGGATAAGAAATTTTAAAAATAGAAAAGAGCTTAAAGAATAAATATGTAAAGAAAGAAGTTATGTTTGTATAATTATACAATGTATTTGTTGTTTGTTTTTTTTTGTTTTTTTTTTTTTTTTTTTGAGACAGAGTCTCGCTTGTTGACCAGGCTAGAGTGAGTGCCGTGGCGTCAGCCTAGCTCACAGCAACCTCAAACTCCTGCCTCAGCCTCCCGGGTAGCTGGGACTACAGGCATGCGCCACCATGCCCGGCTAATTTTTTTTTTATATATATATATATCAGTTGGCCAATTAATTTCTTTCTATTTATAGTAGAGACGGGGTCTCGCTCTTGCTCAGGCTGGTTTCGAACTCCTGACCTCGAGCAATCCGCCCGCCTCAGCCTCCCAGAGTGCTAGGATTACAGGCGTGAGCCACCGCGCCCGGCTAATTATACAATGTATTTGTTTTAAACTAAGTGTTATTATAAAAGAGTTAAACAGTTTTAAAAAATTAAAAAGTTTATAAAGCTTACTACAGTAAGCTAAGGTTAATTTATTTTTGAAGAAAGATAAATTTTTAAAATAAATTTAGTGAAGCCTAAGTGTATAATGTACAATGTTTATAAAGTCTACAATGGTGTATAGTAATGTCTTAGGCCTTCACATTCACTCACCACTCACTCACTGACTCACTCAGAGCAACTTCCAGTCCTGCAAGCTCCATTCATGGTAAATGCCCTGTACAATTTTTCACCATTTATACTGTATTTTTACTATACATTTTCTATGTTTAGGTATATTTAGATACACAAATACTTACCATTGTATTACAATTGCCTACATTATTCAGTACACTAGCATGCTATACAGGTTTGTAGCCTAAGAACAATAGGCTATACCATATGGCCTAGGTGTTTAGTAAGCTATCCCATCTGGGTTTGTGTGAGTACACCCTATGATGTTCGTACAACAACAAAATCACCTAACAATGCCTAACAGTGCATTTCTCAGAGGTAACCCCATCGTTATGTGACACATGACTGTATTTTCCTCCATCACTAGACTACATAAAAAATCAATCTTCAAAAATAATTTAGTTATATAAAATTATAACATTATAACAGAGCAAATTTGAAAATCGTTCTTCACTTAACTATTATAAAGTCTCAACAAATGTTGGCTAGGGCTAAACATTAGATGATATAAGACATTTATGCCCTGAAATCTAGACTAAGGATTCATATTATTTCAATACATGGAGTTTATAAGACATGAAAAGCTTTCCCTCTTGTATCTATAATAATCTCATCTTTGGCACCACCTCTCCTCCTCAGTCTCTCAGCTACTTTTTAATATATACTGTGTGCAGTGTCTACAATTTCATGACCCTCTTTCTATATAGTTTGATTCCAGTTTTCATTCTACCATGACAGATAGCTTTTTAACCTGAAGTTATAGCTGAAACCTTCACATTTGGTGCTAAAAAAATTAAACATATCAAAAGTTTCAGAATTCTTTGATGGAGTGAGAATTTTTTCATCTACGTTGGATTTTGCTTTTTGACTGCTTCATCTGTAGTTTACCTACCAACCCAAAGTAAGGTAATTACTGTATTCAATTTTGTAAAGTGATTGGGACCTTTGAGGATCAAGAATAATAAGCAAACCGAAAGTGTTTGTGAAAGTGGAACCAAATATCCTGCAACACAGGTTTTATGTAGGGTTGCTCGATACAACACAAGACATTAACATTTGCAATATTTGGGACATGTTCATAATTAAAAATAATTTATTATTTTTCTGAAATTCAAATATAAGTGGGTATCCTGTCTTTTTGTTAAACATAACAACCCTAATTTTATGGAATTTAGTGATAGATTGAATACCAAGATATTTCCTTGTAATGAAAAGCCTTAGAACTTTCTCTTCCTAACATGTGCAGAAGAAATGATATTAAGTACATTTTGTCCTTAGCTTCTCAAAACAAAGACCCATTTATTAGAAAGGGAGTGACCCAAAAGAGATAGTTGATTGTCAACATTTTGAAAAACCACCAGACTAACCTACTTATAAAGTAAAACCAAGTTTTTGTTTATGGCACTACAATAGGTCATTAATATTGACAGTGCTTTGGTATTGTCTCAGGAAGGGGAATCAAAGGCAGAATATTTGTTAAGGTTGAAAAGTCTAGTTTAAGGTGGGTCCTTCAATGTGGTTTTGAGGGTTGATTGAGATTGGGCAAAGTTTACGAAACAACAGTTTAGGATCAGTGGACCTAGCAAAGCAAGGGTTTTGAAGTTGGCTTTGTAGAATAAACAGTCTTTGATGAGACCAATGAATGATCTATTACCCCGATGAGGGCAAGTTTAGTGGTTAAATATTTGGATAAATGGATTTTCACAAATTTCTTGTAACAAAAAATAAAAAATTATAAAAATAAAAAGAATAGTAATGAGATAAAGTTATTTGCAACCTCATCCTTCAGATCAAGAACTCTGTGGAATAGTTAAGTCATGTAAATGCAGACTGTCCAATAATAAAGTGTATTATTCTAAAAGTCATCTTAATATAGACATGAGCTGCATGGCTAAAGATCAGTAATTCTCTAAGTGTAGTCTAAGGACCATTGAGAACCTGAGATGTTTTAGTGGATTCACAACATTGTCTCTTTTCCAACTGCATGTCTGTGTGAAGCCAGATTTTCCTAATGTATTTCAACCAAAACAGCATATTGGAAGAGATTGAATCAGATATGAGAATTTAGCTTTCTTTCTTCCGTTATGCCAGACATTTGATTTGCAAAAATGTTAATGTTGCTTTTCTTATTACATCTTTTTGTTGTTGTTGTTGTTGCAAATATAGTTATCGTCAAGAAATGTAAAGGGTCTGAAGTTTTAACCTATCTGCAAGTTAACAAGTTATCTTACTACAGCTTAGTAGAAGCTGACAAAAGACATGAGGCTTCTGTGTCAGAGTTGAAAGACTTCATTACCACAAAACCAGTACCCAGAGTGTCCATATGTCTACATGTGCTTCCTTCAGGGAGCACCAATTTCCCAGGAGTGGCAAGGATGGACCTAGTGGTTGTCAACACATGTAGTGGGTCGCATGACAGGAGAGGAAGACTGAGTTTGGAGAATCTGTCATTTATATAATAGCAGGCAGTGAGCACGCCTGTCCTTTGTCTTTGAAGAAGACCTTACCTTGTCTCTTATAGCTGCTCACTGCCTAGGCTGCCATGAGAAAACCTGGGTACAAAGAAATCAGAGTCTTGCATTCCTGGCACCTACAGCAAGATGTAAAGGACCATGAGACACTACGGAGACAGGTCATCCAACAATTATTTTTCAAAAAAATATATTATTTATGGCAGCATGTACTAGATATATTATTGTTATTTTAGATGAATTAAATAATACTTAAACTTTTTCTTGGTTTTATTTAATAAATTGTTATTGGTAAATGTAAATAGTTATAACCCATCTAAGCAAGCTCTTTCGGGTCCTTAGTAATTTTTAAGAGTATAAATGTGTCCTGAGCAAAAGTTTGGAAACCACTGCTATAGATGGTTTCACTTCTCACCTTCCTATCCCTCTTAGTTCTTTCCCTTCCCCTTAGTCCTAGAGGTAATTTATTTATTGCTACCAAGGGAATAAGTTCTTTTAAATATTCCCTTGAATATTTGTCCCAGATGTTTGTCCTGTTTGTCCCAGAGGACACTGAAAGAGTTAGGTAGCTTCTGACCCAGATGAGCAAATTTGGCAGAGGGGCTTTTATTTATTTATTTATTTTGGCTTTTCATTCTTCAGTCCTTGATTTCAGGATATAAAGAGTCAGTCTGAATGAACCTTGGCTGACTGCTGTGTATGCCATTGGTTAATTCATCAGTTATCTTTTATTATAAATCCTCTAACTTGGGATTTCATTGTTCTTCTTTATATTTATTCAAAACATCTTCCTTTCTTTCAAGTGTTCAACAGGAAAGTTTGGACCTCCTTTGATTATATATGTTTGCATTTTGACAGCACTGGTTCTCTGGGTTGTCTTCACCTCCTCTCCTATTTGTATATTTTTAGGACAAGACATTCCAGGATTGTCTTATAAAATACTCACTTAATGATTCTTCAGTGGTATCTAGACTATGGTCACAGTGAAAGATCCTGTAGCTGTAAACAATAGATGACACAGGTACAGAGAATTTACTTTCTAACTTTGGCATTCATGTAACATTTATTTGGTCATGAGCAGGTGTTACATTTTTAAAACAAAAAAATGACATTTAATTATAAAAGGTAGAGGAAAGTAGATTTTTTAATATAATAATTAGTTGGTACATAGACTTTAAAGCTAATGCTTCCATTCAAATTGAAATGGAATATAAGTCATTGGATTGCAGGTTCCTTAAAGGTCAAGAGTTATATCTTATTCATCTTTCTATCCTGAACATCTAAGAAAGTATCTGAGCATATCATATGTGCTCAGTAAGTCCAGTATTGAAGAGATGCATAAGAATAAAAAATTATTAAGTGCTAATATGCATAATATTTCATTTTTTTCTTAAGATTTAAAATTACATTATTTTGCCCCATTGTTATAGGAGATGCAGTCCAAGAAAAGAAAGAACTAACTGAATCCGTGGTACATTTTGGCCAATGATTACTTGAGTAGTACTGGTCAATATTTGTTTTAATTATTTTACTGAAATCTCACTTTCTGGAAATAATATACTTTAAGCTGACATCCTTTTGATTCCTAGAAATGTCAGATTCTTCTCCTATCCTAACCTCAAATAAACAAACATGGGAATATTTTATTGGTTAAAGCAAACACTGGATTCAAGACATGTAAGTTTCTGAGTGGCTTGAGCCAGCAGGTTAGTCTAGAATAGTGTAATCCAAACTTTTTTACTGCAAACCTCACTAGGAAATGTATTGCATATTATGACTCCAACACATGCATAAACACACACGCACACATACACACACACTCCTAAAACAAAAGTTTCACAAAGTAATATTTACCTTAAATATTCAGGATTCACATTAATGTTTTTACTGTTTGTTTTATTCTATCAAAAAATGTACACAACCCATTAAATTGGTTTCCTGATGCACCAATAGATCTCCACCCATAATTGGGAAAAAAGAAAGAATTCATAGATAAACCTCTAAAATTTTTATTTCAGTAAGGGCTGATAAAAGAAAAATGCAAACAGCTATAATTGTCTATGGAAATTAAAACTTGTGGTAGAAACTGCCTAGAACAGAAAGCCTCAGTAATATTTTTTGAAAAATTAAAGGAAATTTGAAGGAGTGCCTGAGGGTGAAATTTTATTATTGATTAATCTAGGTTGTTTTGAAAGCAGATGCCTTCTATAACTTCTATTTACCATGTTTCATATCTACATATGTAATGTTATTTTGATTGTTTTAAAAATGTGTCATCTATTTTATAAGACCTTGTTATTGCTAAAAAGAGGTTTTAATAATCACCATATTCTTTCAGGAATATAATCCTCATGGTTGGCAAGAGATTACTAAAGATATATAAAACAACCTATTGCCAACCATGTCTATACATATATGTACAGTCATCCTTCAGTATTTGAGAAGGGATTGATTCCAGGACCCCTGAAGATACCAAAATCTGTAGATGCTCAACTCTCTGATACAAAATAGCATAGTATTTGCATATAACCTGCACACATCCTCCTGTAAACTTTAAATCATCTTTAGATTACTTATAATAACTAATACAATGTAAATGCCATGTCAATAGCTGTTATATTATATTGTTTTACTAGTATGTTTTATTGTTTTATTATTTTTTAATTTTATATATATGAGATATATACATATATTTGTGGGTTGTTTTTTTTTTTTTGAGCCATAGTTGGCTGAATCTGTGGTTGTCTGAACTGGTGGATGTGGAACCAATGGAAATGGTGAGCTGATTGTATCTGTATCTATATTTATATTTTTCTGTATATATCTCTCTCTAACATATTAAATGATGATAAGTCTAAAAGTAAAGCAGAGAAAGGGGATAGGGAATGCTGGAGTGAGATAGTTGCAACTTTAGGGTGGTCAAGGAAGATCACAATGAGAAGGGGACATTTGCATTAAGACCTAAAGTGAGGAGAGCAAGATATTGGGTGGGTATATCTTGAGGAAGAGCTTTCCAGGCAGAGGAAACAGTGGCTGCAAAGAATTTGATGCTGGAGCTTGTCTACAGTGTTGAAGGAGCAGCAAAGAGGCCACTTTGGTGAGGCAGAATGAGTTAGAGGATAAATAGTAGGAGATGACATCAGAGAGGTCACCCCGGACCAATTGTACAGGACCTTGTGAGTCACAGTAATAATTTTGGCTTTTACTTGGAGCAAAATGTGACAGCACTGGAGGGTTGGGAGCAGAAGAATGACATTACTTATCCTACATTTGTATGCAATCTCTCTGGCTACTGTGTGATACATAGACTGAATGATGGCTGGGGAGGAGGCAGTGTGGGAGAAGGGAGACCATTTACTTGACCAGTGCACTAGTCTGTGCAAAAGATCATGTTGGCTTGGCTGGGGTGGCAGCAGTGGACTGGGGAAAAGCGGTGGGATTATGGATCTATTTTGAAGGTGCGGCTGGAATTAGTTGCCTACAGACTAGATATCAGTGTGAGAAAAGGAGAGGAGTCAAGGATGACTCCAAGGGTTTTGACTGGAGATTTTGGAAGAGCTCTTGTAGATCAATTAAAAAAGCCATGAGCACTTCAGTGAAAAAATGGGCCAAAATATAATTGAACTTAAACAAAAAGTGATTTTTCTTTGTAAGCAGTATTTTCTAGTACACCTTTTATTGAAGAAAAGTACACAGATCATAACTACATATCTGGATGAATTTTCGCAAAGTAAACAAAACACAGCATGTAGCCAGCACTGAGGTCAAGAAGTAGAACATGATCTGTGCTCAAGAAGCGCTCCCCGAAAGTATAAATAATTATTTTTAAAATGAACTCAGTATTTCTGTTAAACCTTTTCTACAGAGCCATTGATGTAGAGTGACACAGAGCAGAAGATATCTTCAGAAATCAGGGTAAGAGGTGTTAAGAAACTCACCCTGCAACCCTGTGAAGGGAATTAGTCACCCGCTTGATCTCATGAAATTCATACTGGAAAGTTCTTTCCTAATAATACAATGTGAGACAGATAGCTGGTAAAAATAGCTACATTTTCTGCATAGGCTTCAAAGTTAGAAAGTTCACAGGCGTTGCTAAAAAAAAAAATACCCTGAGTTGACAAAAGAAACTTTGAAAAAGTAAAGTTGAATATACTAAGGTCAAATGATCTTTACTTTTAAAGTAAAATGTTCATTATCTAGAAAGTTTGGTAATAATGAGCATCAGAATAAGAATTTTTAGATGGTGAGACTGAAAACAGAACCTAGTGCAGAAACTATGGTTGTAGTTTTTCTCAGAAGTCACAGTGCAAAAAAAAAAAAAAAAAAGAACCAAAGAGGTTGTGTGAGAATAGGGAGAGAAAGGCAAGGAAAAATAAGAAAGAAAATGCCTAGATGATTCTTTGAACCCTCTCTTTACCAAACAAACAAACAAACAAAAACCTTTGGAAATAAACATCTTCAAATTTTGAAACGGAAGATATCTTTTTCTGTTGATGCTAAAAATGCAAACTGATTTTAGAAATTTTTTGTTTCCTTCTTTTGGTATCATTGAAAATGTTAAGTACATCTAAAAAGGCACCATTTTTATTTTGGTAAAAAATATAGCTATCAAAATCAGTCACACACAGCATAATCACCTTTTGGTGAACAATGAGCCCGATATATAATAGTGATCTTAAAGATTATAGTACTGTATCTGTACTGTACTTTTTTTTGCTGTAGTTTTCTATGTTTAGATGGGTTTAGATACACATATACTGTTGTGTTGCAACCACCTGCAGTATTCAGTACACTCTGTTCAGATTTGTAACATAGGAGCCATAGGCTTTACCAAAAAGCCTTGGTGTGTAGTAGTCTATCCCATCTAGGTTTGTGTAAGTGCATTCTATGATGTTTGCACAGTGACGAAATTGCCTAAAGACACATTTCTCAGAACATTTCCCCATTGTTAAGTGATGCGTGATTGTTACGGTGTTAAGAAGAGCAAATGTTGGCTCCTTTACTTAAAAAATTATATGCTGCAGTTATAGTATTGGAATTTTTGTTTTTGTTTATTTATCTTGGGCTCCCATTACTCATTTCCCCTTCTTTGGGTAAGGCACCTCTATTTTGTGCTGAGGAAATTGGTTATTCTTCATTGTATACAAACCGGTAAGGGGGAAACAAACTGCCTTGAACTCCCCTGGCAACAAATGGACCTGTGCTCCAAGGGAAGCCAGTCAGGCCCTCTGTCCCTAGAATATGAATCCGGAGCTAAGTGACCCAAGATGGTATGTAATTGATGCTGATTAATTCAAGAGCTTGCCCGCTGAAGATAGTGTCCCTCATTGCCTGGACCTGCCCTGATTCTTGCTCTTTTTAAAATAACTTCTTCAAATTTTCTTTCACCTCTGTGAGCCACCCCATGTCCTATAAATTTTCTTTTTTGCCTAAGTTGCCTAGAGTTGTTTTCTATGTCTTGCAACCAAAGAACACCAGCTGATAACATTCTAATACTATTAATCACAGAAGAATCCCTTCTGAAATTTTAGCTAGCAATGATAATTTGGTTGAATATTGAATGAACATTCAGAAGACCACTGGGAAGTATTTCATACTCACAAATATAAATGTTTTAAGGAAACATTCAATAATGTCATCCTGTTTGAGATACATAAATATTTAAGAATAAATTTAAGAATTATTGAAGTAAAATATGTATGTACATACACATATGTGTATATAGTAGATGCAGCTATCAAAATTTTAATTTTTAAAAAGACTAAAAGCAGTTAAGAATTATATTGTTTTTATATTACTCCAATTCCTAGAGGGCAGGATCTATCCTGGTCTTTATGCATAAGAACTTGATATTTATTCTTTGATGGTGATAAAGTTAGTGAAAGTAAACCGTAATCCTGCCAGAAAAAAAAATCTCTATTGAATCTTTTTGGAGTTCATTTTCTACCATGACTGAAACTTCATGAGCTATAACATGAAAATATTTCAAACAACATGCAAATAGTCTTTTAGATTTCCATTCAAAACAAAACCTTTGTGGCTGAGTATATGAATTTTGAAGTAAGAGATGTAGGTTCAGACCTTGACTTTGCTAACTCTGTAGCAGTGAGAAAGCTAATGTCTGCTCTGGGCCCAAATTTCCTCAACAGAAAAATTGAGATAATTACATTTACCTTATTTCTAAAGTGTTCTTGAAAAATAATAGCTTGTTATTATTATTAATAATGTTTATAGATAGAAATTAATATTTCTAGAAGATACTTATATCAGAAATCAGTATATAAAACTTGCATGTTTCTGGGATAACTTAGAAGGAAACAGATTTTCATATTTAAATTCAATCCATGGCTATCTAGAAGTTGAGATTTATTTTTTAGAAAAGGAGAGTTTTTGATTTTGGAAATAATTTAGAAAATTACTTATTTCTGATTGGAAAAGAGACATCTGTAAAGATTTCATGCTGACAACACAGAATGCAGCTATGCAAATATAATTTTTTCTTGTTCTTCTTAAGCAATATGGAAGAAAAAGCATTTTAGAAAACTAAGAAAGACTAGAAGTGCTGAAAAACCAACTAAGGCCCTTTCAATAATTGGCAGAAAGCAGATGAATGATCTTATGAATTACAAAGAAAGACTTCTTTGTATTGATTGAAATATATATTTATCTTATTCTGTCCAGAAAGACACTATACGACTTAATATATTTAAATACTCTTAATATCATCTTTTTAAATTTCACAAGCTTCACTTCCATCACTTCAAGTCTGAGGTTATGCCTTTTAATGTCAGTTAACACACTTGGCAATTTTGGTAGCTAAAACCAGAAAACAGAAACATCAGATATATTATACATTGATAAATCATCTAGATGTTTTATCCTTAAAAGGCCAACTTAAAAAGACATTCATGCTTAGAATCCTGGATTATTGAAATAAGGTCTCCAGAAAATAAGAGTTCTAAATTCTAAACAAACAGTGATCATCAGGCTTTTAAGAATCACCCAAATAAGAGACTCTAATGTAGAATGTTTTATATTCAGAAAATCTTTCAATCATTCCGACCTTTTTGGTTTATTTTACCTATTTATTCTATGTGATAGTTGTGGCTATATATTCCTATATCATCTTTTTGAGAAAGCATAATTGTCATCAGATATTTTAGGTATCTTCAGTTGATATCTATTAAATCTTTCAGTTATGTTCAGTTATATTCATGAAGCTGTCCAGTCTTCTCTCTTTATTAATGTTCTAATCACTTTCACAAGTACTTAAAAGATACATCTTTCTGACATTAGACTGAATGGCCCATATGTTTTATGATGGCAAGAACCACACTGGCTTTGTTTCCAGCTAGTAACCATGCAGAGTCTGGCACAAAGTTTGTGCTTAATCAGTGTTTGTTGAATGAATGAATATCAAACTTGTGGAAGCCCGTGCACTTGGTGCACTTGGTGAGAAACTAACATGACAATAGCCTAAGGTTTGTCTTTATTTTCCTCTGCAGTCTTCTGGTGTTGACACCATTCTCTTACAGCATTCTGTCAGGAGGGCCTATAAGATGGCTGGGAAACATGGAGGGTTAAATCACCGAACTGTGTCTGCCATGAATACTTGCGCCAAGCCTAGCAATATGCCTGGCTCTGCCTCACATATCCATGTGTTACTGCACTCACATAATGGTGTGGGTGGGACTATATGCGAACATGCTTACGACATTTTTGGACTATGAACTATTTCTATGCAATCACATTCACCTACCCTTCATTTAATCTCAGACCTCTGTCTCTGAAAATACAGTCTATTTTATAGTCACAGGATTTTGACCGAAAATTAAATAAGCAAAAGGCACAGTTGGTACCTTGCCTTTCCTGGAACCAGCTCTATAAATTGTCTAATATTTACAAAAAAAAGAAATAAAGAAAGAAAAAAGCCAAAATCATACAATGAATATTTCTAATTTTGTTTTGATTCCTCCTGCGACCTCCCTCCTGCCAATTATTCATCAAAAAAGGAAAGAGAGAATATCAATATTTAAGTGTCCCTATGTAAGAGATGCTTTATGTGTAGGATCTAATTTAACTCTTACAACAATGCTAGCATGTCAGTATTGCCTACCCTAATTTACACATGGGACTAGTAGAAATGAAGTGGACTGTCCAAGGGGCACGTGGTTAGTGAATATCAAAGTTAAGATTTGAATCTTTGCTTTATTTTAAAACCTGTGCCTTATCCCCAGCATCACTATATAATAAGTGCACACTGAAATCACACACCCTCATAGAGATCTCAAACCTGTTTAACCATTTTCTTTCTTCACTTGTATTTTAATTACTGTGTTGTTTTCACTTTCATGGTAAGAGCTGATAATGCGAGAGCCCCTCCTAAGGGAACTTTTCAGAAAGGGAATTGATAATAATGTGGTTAAAAAACTATACAAGTGGGGGGCGGAGCAAGATGGCGGACGAATAACACCGCCAGACAGAGGGTCTCTGCAGAAAAGACCGATTCTAGCAGAAACTAGAGGAAAGAACAACGAAATGTCTCGCCTACAGCTCAAATTTTCGTTATATGCCCTATATGTTAGCGGGCGCTTTCCTCGTGCGTCTCTTGTACATCACACTTCTGGCGAGAACCTCAACAGTCTTCGCTGACCTGTTGCCGTCTCTAGGAATGCCTCGGCTTTGGGTTAACTGTCATGCTGTCGCAGCTCAGTTAGCTCAACGCTTCTGCCCGATGGGGAATGGCCGCACCGCCAAGCGCACGATAGGCCTCTAGCGCAGACCTCAAGGTCATCCCGCGCGCCGCGTGGATTTAATCGAGCGTTGGGTCTTCGAAAGGACTCGCGAGATCCACCAGTCTGTTTCTCTCACCTGCCCTGTGGCCCTGCGTTCTTCCACCCGCCCGGCTGCTCCGG